GTTTTAAAACACATTATTTTTATGTTATTTTATGTTTTATTTACTTATAAATTGTGTTATTTTGACACTAAGAAATGTTGAATATTAATTTAACACAAAATATTTAAATAACATAATTACATTATGTTAAATTAACACTCGGATATATGTATTAAAAATGTCAACACAAAATTTTAACAAGTAAGTGGACCATTTCTAACATAAATACAAAATGTTTTTTACTGTGTAGATGTACACGTAGTTTTAATATTTTATCCAAATTATATAAATATTTGTGATTTTGGACGGGCTTGTGGATTCTCCAAATTTTCGGCAGTTTACTAAAGAACCATCTTAACTCGCGAGCAAAGTGTTGAACAGGCCTGTCTTATACTTATTATTATTATATATAATAGAATTTTCCATTTAAAAAAATTGTGATCTTTACTTGACCTTGGTGATGTCGCCCAAGGTTAAACCGATAAGACCAGTGAATAGATTTTTTTTAAGCCCTACAACTTTTGTTTGAAACATTTTTTTGCAAAACTTATATTTTCCGAGACATTTTGGAATCCCGACCTTTTTGGGTCACCCTATACATAAAAGAAAAATTGGGATTTTTGTAAAAGCTAAGTAGAGATTAATAAATTTTAAGTGTATAATTGACTAATTATAATAAAGTCCTCGTTATATTTTATTTATTACATTATTATATTTTCATATAAAATTAATAAGCCAAGATAAAATAAATTACGATTGCACTACATTTGTATTTTGCCTGCAAATAAAACGCGACAACTAATTTAACTTAGAAATATTATAGGAGAATAATAATTGAGATAAAAATTGGAAATTTTCCCCGTGAAATATCAAATAACTCAACAAAGATAATCCCGTTCAAACGACAATGATATAGAATTATAAACTAGTAATTATGCGAAGATATAAAATGATTGATTATATTATCGTTTTATGAACAAATCTTACAATTAGTTAAAGTCTTGTTAAAGTTTGTTAAAATATAGGGTTTGGTAAATACACATATGTAACAATATTTGTCATTAACGTTCTTTTGCTTTCAAAGTTGTATACTAGCTTTTATAAAGTTAAATAGTTATAACGATAGTTATTGCCGATTACTCAACACTCAATGTAAGGATAACCTTGATGCCACAAGAAAATTATTACGATCTACTTATCTACGCAATCAAGAAACGGAAATAAGCGTCGTTTCTTTTCTAAATGATCGGGAGCGGCTTCCGGGAATCGCGGTTACTAAACGGGATAAATCAAATATTATTTTGCAACGCAAAATAATAATAATCTATACCAAGAGTATTTAACTTAGTATAAAGATGTATTCTAAAATTATTCATAAGTTATGTAATGATAAATTCGTTAATTTATGTTAATTTTACGTTAGCAAATATGTTGCAACAGCGTTTCATTTATCGCGAGTTTCCAATCTTTTTCATTAATATATCTTTATAATCAAATTAAAACTTAAAATAACTCTAACATTGAAATAATTTTTATTGAAAATTAATTGAAGAAATTAGTTTTCTATTTAACTCTCTAAATTTAATTCGCAAGAACTACTTTTTTAATCAATTGTAATAAAGAAATTATTGATATCAATATTTATTTAAATAAAATTAACTTTGAATTGGTTAAAGAATTTGTTATCAAAAAATTTAATAGATTTAGTATGTCCTATAAAGCATGCCCACTTTCACATCATTTTTAAAATTAATTATGATTATAGACTCGTAATTGTAATAACAAAATACAATAATGAATAATAGACCAGAACCGAGCATAAAAGGATGGACAATAAATTAAATTAAATCATGCAATAGTCATGTTAAAATCATGTATTCAATAATATTTGAACAAGTTTCGACTTTATACTTAGTCTTCATCAGCGACATTAAGCAAAATAATCAATTAATCTAACCAATAAGTAAAATTAACAAAAAAACGCACATTATTAATAAAATCAGACGACATGTTTAAATAATTAAAACGGTCACGAACGTTTCTGCGGAAGTCATATATCACATCTATATTGTTATTGCATTCATATGCTTACAAGTCATTAACAATCTCCAACATCTTTAATCAATTGTGATAGTCTCTCATGACAAAGAATATCTGGCCTCCAAACATGGTTTAATTTCCAATAGACTGATATTAAAGATTATATCTATAGTATCATTTATAGTTCTGTCTAATGAACAAATAGCAAAAAGTCAACAATGTTTAAGACAAATAAATTAGAAATATAACTACGTGCAATCAAGAATTACTTACATAGCTGTCCGTTAAACCATATCTATCATTAGTCAGAAATATTAGAACTTTACTGTAACTATTTAAACATGTCGTCTGACTTTATTAATAATGTGTTTTTTTGTTAGTTTTACTTATTGGTTAGATTAATTGATTATTTTGCTTAATGTCTGATGAAGACTAACAAGGAAACACACAGAAGTGTCCTCCTCCGATTTCAATGAGTTTTGGATATGTTAAACTACAGACAAAAATAAGATACTACAATTTTTTTATACGTGCTGAGTCACATGTTAAGGGGGTGAAACATCCCTTAGAAAAAAATCGTTTTTTTTTTTATTTTAATGCGAATGTCGTCAAAATTACGAGAGATAGAAAAAAATGTTTCGAATAAAAGTTGAATGGCTTTAAGAGTACTTTATAATTATAATTAAAAATAATTTTTTTATTGTTTATTTTTTTATTTACTCTCACCACCCAAAATTTTTTTTTAATTTTTCAAATTTTTTTT